CCTAGCGCATCACAATGAGGAGCAGAAGGAGACGGACTCAGCTGTGATAATTTTGTTTTGCCTTTGTTCATTAACTTATGATAAGAACTTTTAGATCTCTAGTGTTTGAAGTTAAGATGGAAATGCAATAAGTTGATGTGATCAATGAATGGTACAATGGGTGAAACAAATGTGCCAAATACATAACCTTAATTTGATGAATGTGAAACATGGAAAAAATATGACAGGTTGCACAAAAGCTGTATTGTATCTAGCCAATTCTAATGAAGTGGCTTCAATCATGTTTCTCTTGCTGGTACCATCACTGATTTCCAACTTGAACGTTGAAATTATTTGCCAACAACTTGACCTACAGTGGAAAGTTAATTTCAAGACTAAATTAGTGTACATGTACATGTATGCATAACTTACAAGTTATCTTAAGTTTCATTATTATTGAATTATACCATATCTAGATAACAAAAAAATAATTAGTTCCATTAAGGTTAATAAAATGAATATCATTCATCCTGAGTATTTGTATCTACCGTACTAGACCGCGTTAGCGCCCAGGGGCCTCAACTCAGAAAATCACGATTTTTTAGGGGTGGGTGCTTACTCGAGCACCCCCTCGAAAAGGGTGCAATTGTTAATTTTGATTCATCATGTGACAGATTACGTCTTTGAGGAAAAAATCAAATTCCGAAATTAGTTGCGTCATCATTGATTTTCACAATGAAATGATCACAAAAAATATGCACATTTTATTACAATATTAATTACGTACCACAAGAATGTTGGAACATAGTCGAAGTCAAAATTGGCATATTATCTCCACTGACGAAGGTGTTGGATTGTACGCAAACTCACGATGAAAATCACTTTCCGCCATGATGCATTGCAGATTTGACCTGCAGCAGCGTCCTCTGACCTAATAGGTCAAGTTGGTTATTAACCAATCAGAATGCTGTGTTGTACCGACTTTGTGAATTCCTAAAGACTTTCCGGTAACGCAATGCGGAAGTGAATTAACGATATCGAAGTACGATCTGTTGGAATTGATTTCAGCGAATAAACGACATGGTTTTTCCAAAAAACTAGTAACTAGCCATTTTTGAAAGGTCAACAGAATATGGCATGAAATATTTACCGCATTTTACTTGTATTAACAAGTAATTGTCAATGCCTAGTTTACCTACGCTTACCGTGGTCTACGCATGTTCACAGCGGTCGATATCCACGCTGTATCATATAAAAACGATTACCAAGATTCGTTAAGCAAGACCCAATTTTAAATTAGTTGCACTTTGAAGGGGTGGGCGCTTTGCCGAATGTGACCCCAAATATGAAAATTGCGTAAAAGTGGGAGGTGGCCGCTTGCCCGGGCATGGGCGCTAACGCGGTCGAGTATGGTATAATGCAAATAGGACCCTAAATTCGTTTCAACCTAAATTTAGAATTAGCGTTTCTACAACAATTTAATAAACAACCAGTTAATTATAAAAAATTATAACAGTACCTTTTCCAAATTGTTGTGAATTGTTCTCAGTGTATCCTCTACCAACATCAGTCTACTGTTTTCCTCTTCTTGAGTTTCTATCAGATTTTTCATTTTCTGCTCATAGTCTTTCTTGTGTGTTCGTAAACTGTCCAGTCTTTCTTGAAGTGCTGCTATTTGCTCCAATAGTTTATCTTCCTCTCTGGCAATATTACCTATTTGCTTCTGACCAAAGAATAAAACAGAGACTCAAAGTTAAGCCTGGGTTAGGTTCACTGGTCTGAGATGACCTCTTTATAATATGTGCAACTACATCAGCATGTAAATCTTGAAATGGACTACGAGAAAGAGGACAAGCATGAAAAGTAGTGACCAGATCCTGTGAAAGTACATACTTTATCATCAATGAACATATTATAAAATGTTTGATGTTGAACAAAATCAGTCTAGGCATATCTGAATCAAAGAAAGCTTAGAAAGAACTCCTGTGTGCTGACGAGGTATTGGAAGCATTAGCACATGTGCTTCTATTAGAGAAAATACAGCATTTAAAAATATAACTGCAAGCAATGATCTGGGGGGTTCCAAGTAGCTAAATGTACATGTATGGTTTAACAATTATAAATAATTAATAAAATAATGACTTGATATTTTGGTCATATATCTTGTCAGACAAAATTATAGCATCAGTTGCATGTCCCTATCAGCAACAGTACTTATATCACATTGATTTCAACCAAAAACTAATTTTTCCAGGGCATCTATGTACCATGTTTCATCAAAATCCAATGAGTGTTTTTTCAGATATCAGTGGAACAGTCATGGAACAACTAAAAATCAGCTAATTATCAAGCAAATTAGGTAATTAATAAGCACCGAATTTAACCAAAACCTAATCAAATCTACGCATTAGCCCAGAGCATCTATGCACAAAGTTTCATTAAAAACCATCATACAGTTCTTGAGATATCAGTGGAACCGACCACGACACACACACACACACACACACACACACACACACACACACACACATACATACATACAGACAGACTAACTGCAATGTGCTACAATCATCCTGTTTTGGACTACCCCAGGTATGTCCGACGAAGATGAAAAATAAAGTGAAAAACATACAGTAGAAGAAATTATTTTGGCTGTGAATTTTTTTGACACTGGAGACAACACAATCATCACTTACTTTCTGTTGTGAAATATTTTGTGTGCAACTTTTCAAACTCTCTTTAATAACATCTTTCTCATTTTTCAGTGCTTCGGATCTGATCAGCAGAGACTGGTACTCCTCAGCATAGTGCTGTCCATTTTTGTGTGAATTAGTGGGCGTCTCTGTGTGCAAGGAGTCAACATTGTATTTGTGATTTCTAGGATCTGTATATTTGCTGGGTGTGTACTGTCCACCAGGTTTACTGCTGTCATGTGACAACATTCCATGGGCGTAGTATCCAGGCTTTCTTTGATCAATAAAATCTTGTATGATGGATAGTAGAGTTGTGTTGCATGTCAATGAAGTCACTGCCAATAGAATACAACAGAAGTTCTGAGATACAAGAATGGATCATGAAAACAATGAGTCACAGAAAACAGTGACACACAGAACACAGTGAGATATAGGACACAGTGAGACATGGGACACAGTGAGACATGGGACACCGTGGAACACAGTGAGACATGGGACACAGTGAGACATGGGACCCAGTGGGACACAGTGAGACATGGGACACAGTGAGACATGGGACACAGTGAACCCCTCACCCTGTGGAATTACAGTACAATCAAAATGATCTCCCCAGACCTCCTCCCCCTGTAGAATTACAGTACAATCAAAACCATCTCACCAGAACCCCTCCCCCTGTAGAATTACAGTACAATCAAAACCATCTCACCAGAACCCCTCCCCCTGTAGAATTGATGAA